CCAAATCTTAAATGAGGGAAAAAAATGATTTGCTAGAAATTATTCATATCACAGTGAGCCTCTACTAAAGCTGGCAGGGGTGCAATATTTTCGGTGAAATTAACATAAAATATACAACTGCAAATTATCCAGGAAATAGCTATGTTCTTTACAACACGCATTTACATTTGGTTGGTGGGGGGGAGAGGAGAAGGGTTCCACTTCTCTTTCTAATACAAAGCTGCAAACAGTCTTTCTCCAATGCCAGTTTTTAAAGGGAAAAGTAATAGCCTTCCAGAGGGAGCACAGCCTTTAAAGATGATATAACAAAATATGTGGTTGGCGAAAATCGACCTCAGATAATTACTAGAGACCACAATCAACAGTGGATGTTTTCGAGTGCTCATTGCTAGCAAGTCCATTTTTAGATTTATTTCCCCACCCGGCACGGAAAATGCATTTCCTCTCCTAGGCCTAAGTCTTTCCTGCAAACACAAAGAGACAAAGAAGAAGAAGAAGAAGTAATACCATGTAAAATGCAAATCTTGTTGTAAATATTTTATAAAATTGTTGCATACATCCCAAAAGCTATAGGCCTTAATTGAGAGGAGGCTATGTTTCCAGTCAATATATGGAAATGGAAAATGCTAATTCATGTTTTTCTGCTTCTGAAAAACCCTAGAGGACAGCAAAGCCACAAATGCACTCAACTTTAATATTATAAATATAATTTGGCTCCCTCTTTATAATCCCCAGCGACTTGGCTTTTATCTCCCAATGGCTGCGGTGGAAGAATTCGCACAGGAACTTTTACATCATCTGTACAGGAAGTCAACCTTCAAGCACTGCCAGCTTGGCAGGGACTAAGCAAGGAAACACTGCAAACAGGAACTGGAACAAATATTCTAGCACTCTTGCACAAGAAAACACATGCTCAATTACATCAAGCAGTGCAGAGGTGCACACAGCCTTTTGTGGTAGAGAACGATCCAAATTCCTCTTTGACCATCATTGGCCAGACAGCCATAGCTTTAAAGATAATCTCCATGAGCATTCATTTGTCTTAGCAACAACAAAGAGAAGCCATGTGGTGCCTTAAAGGACAACATGAATGGCCTGGAAGGAAGGGATAGCACCAGACCTTAATTCTAGCCTATTAATGAAAGGGGCTACACCTCAAGGAAAGAGCATGGGTTTCGCACACAAAGGCCCTAGGCAGTCATCTCCAAACAGAATGGGCAAAGTCTCTCACCTAAAAGCCTATTTCAGCTCCTATGTGGACAACCCTGAGTTAGCCAGCCCAACCAATAATCTGCGTAGAGTCCAACAGAAATGGATGATGGCAAGGGAAATAAAGAAGCTGACATCCAATGCAGAAGGTAGCTACTGTCCTAATAAGAGACAGTAGATGGTACCACCAAGCTGGACCAGATAGCATGTTGGAAAGACCCCTGATTGATACCCTTGGCAGTCACGACAAGCCAGGTTACTGAACTCACTGGCTGATGATATATATGACACAATATGTGGCAGCTTTCTATGGTATATTCCCCCTTTATCATTATTGTGACTCCATATGAACTTCACCTGGGCAAAGAGGTGTCTTCAGTAAAGCAGTTCTCTGCTGGGAAAAGCATGTGTGTTGAGAAAGGAGATCTGCAAGCGGGATTTGAAGGCCTTAGGAATGGACCTCAACAGATGGGAAACCTTGACATTTGAGCATTCAACCTGGAGGCAGACGGTGCATCATAGCCTCTCCCAATTCGAAGAGACCCTTGTCCAGCAGGCCGAGGCAAAGAGGCAGTCCTGAAAGCAGCAAAACCAGGGAGCTGGACAGGGGACAGATTGCATTTGTCTTCAGTGTGGAAGGGATGGTCACTCTCGAATTGGCCTTCCAGCCACACTAGACGCTGTTCCAAGTCCTCCATACAGAGCACGTTACCATAGTCTCTCGAGACTGAAGGATGCCTACAGTAAATACACAGGGATGTGCTCTGCCATGGAAAGATGATTCCTTCCACCCCATCCCAAATTATGGAAAGACCATGGCAAAGTAGAGGTATGGTTGGTCACTACTCACTTAACAATAACTTCTGCTCATCCCAAAGACCAATCTTTTCACAAGAAAGAAGTAAATGGGCCATTACTGTAGTTCTTTCCCATTTTCTTTTTCCATTAAAAATCCAGGTGGTGGGGGGGCGGGGGCGGGGACAGATTGATTATTCAGTCCACAAGCAAATGACCTCAATAGACAAATCCATATGAAACTAAAAAGAGTAATGTGTATGGATAAATGGCATTATAACTTATCATTCCAAGATGTGACAAAAATAAAACTCCGTCTCCCAGCAAACAGAAAATAATACATTTGGTTGGTAGCACGTGAAGAACCTCCTTTAAAACGGGAGCAGCTGTGGGAACATTCTCTTCTAATACAGTGGTTCAGAAATTTTGGCAACTGCTAATAAGTTGATCATCGTTTCCAAATGTGTTTTCTTTTCCCCCCATGAGTCCACTGGGATAATGAAAAAGACCGACATTATCACTGTTCTGCTTTGTTGATAGTGGCATTCTCCACCAATCCATAAAAAGGAATTCCATTTTCAAAATTAGGATCCATTTAAGAAGCTGTTTGTTTCTGATTTCAGAAAGATATGGAGCAAAAATGGGAGATTCCTTGCTGTTGTTTTAGATGCCCATATGTTTGACAATGCCAAGCCAAACTGCCCTTTCTACCACGTAGACGCTTGCAACGAAAAAGTACGGAGCGAGTGTGAATATACAGTGCTTTGCAGGCTCTTTAGAGGGGCGCTCTTAGAGATTTGGTCGGTAACCCACAGTTCTTAAGCTAACTTCCAAAGCTTTTTTGCAAGCATTCAGTTCCGGCCAGACCAACCTGTTCCACTGTAAGCAGCTGAGCTGAGTGGTGGGAAGAGAGAGAGGGGATAGGGTACCAGTTAAGAGAGAGAAAAACAGAGACAGAAACAAATGGGAGAGGGAGCAGGAGAGAGAGGACCTTCCTATTTCTGATTCTGATCATGCCCAGCACCAGAATGCAGCCTCTAACAGATTACTCCAGAGGAGTAGAATACTCCTCAAGATAGACAATGATTCCCTATGTCTAGTTTAGGAAATGCCCTGAGGTCCCACAGCTGGAGTGCAAGATAACCAACATTTTCTAGAGATTCCCTAAACATGGTGAAAAATGGAACACTGGAGATCCCCCCCTCCTGTATTATATGGGAACTAGCCTGGATTTTAAAAATGCCTTTTACCCCACCCTGGGTCAAATACACCGTAATACATGGTTCTGTTGCAATCTTATCGAAGTGGAGAGGCAAAAATGAAGCAAGAAGAGACTCTCTTTTTTCAGGTGTGGAAAAGCAAAGAATGCTGAACACATGCTATAAGGGTCTTGCCTTCCCTAAAATTTGGCAGGTGGAACATCTCCCAAGTGTGTCTTTTTCTTGAAACATTTGAGAAACACCCACAACAGTATTTCTTAACATAAGGTCCAGAAATTCCTCTCCAGAGCAAAGAGCTGAGGTCCCTGTACAGAAGAGAGGCTTCGAACCACTAAATGTTTTAGTTGGATGGGACAACGCTTAAGGTAATTTCGAAAATCCCAGGGCAGTCCTTACATTTTCCCCACCTGCAAAATACAGGTTACCTTTGCAGGTGCTGCAAGTTTTTAATTTTTGTGGGGTTTTGTTAAAAAAACACACACACACAACCCAACAGTTTCAGAAGAAGTTTTGAGACACAAGGCTTGATTCCCAAGTACTACACCCCCTCCTTGTGCTGTTCCACCCAAACGGCTCCAAGTGGACCATGAGTCGGGACCTGGAAAAATCTGCAAGTGTTACAGGCTGTGAGAGGAGATATTAATGCCTCCCACATAGACTCCATAAATCAAAACAGATTGGGAGGAACTATTAAGGCTCATGACAAGAATCCACACTTCACTTTAATAATTCCCTATTAACATATTTAACTGCTGGGCTGTATATTTTAAACATTTCTTACTATTGGGTATATTAGTAATTAGTGGCTTTTAAAAGTTGCATTAACACAGAGAGGAGGGAGAGAAATAAGCTGGGTGTTTTTTTTTTTCCAATGGTCTGGAAAAAAATTATGGCATAATTGTTGAGTGTGTTGGTTTGTTCTGGGCCAACAAAATGGTTATGGCATTTTGTTGGCCCAGAACATAGGTCATTATTAAGAGGTTTATGCCAGGATGCCAGCAGTTTCAACAACGTACCAAGCATAGAAGTGGCAGGCTCCAGATCCGATGCTCATCTGCTCTGGGGGCATAAATGAGGGATGAGGAAAAGCTCATTCTGCCACTGGATAGCAGATTTGGGTTGGAGGGACCTGGCTGGCAGAGGTGCATCACACAGGCTGACCTCAAATTATAGTCCAGGATAAGCCACCTTTAAAAGTGAGCCAAAGGGTTTAAGACAGAGCAAAGAGGAAAAAGAGGAAAGGGGTTTCAGAAACACAGAAGCCTAGGCCAGGCCTTGAAATTGCGGTCCCGGGAGTGGGGAAAAGTTATGGTCCACTGGGTGTCGGAAGTCTGCAACCACCATCAGCTATAGCACAAGAAATTCAACACAACTCTCCAACCTGCAACCACACACTTAAAAACCAGTCTGCTTGACCTAACATCTTCTAAGCAACTCCATCCAAATATGTTTGACAGCGCTATTCAAAAAGAATGTTCCTTAATTGTATTTAAGAATGTGTTTTGCTCTGCAGGTTTAACTACAAATATGGGCACTTCTGCATAGGCAAAGGACTGCCCCTAGCAACAGTTCGACAGTACGCACGGACAAAGACATAGCAGCTAAGATTTGTGGAGTTTTAGGACATGTTCCTCTAAAAATGCCCCTTACACTGTTAGGATTGTCCTCAAAAAGCATTCCCTTCCTTAGCATCTGTGGCTGCATCAGGTCTTAAAGGGCAGAGTAAAGGGCGTGCGAGTTCTTTTAAACAGGAATACCGTATACTGCATCTCCTACCTGTAATAGCATTTTTCATACTCCTCCTCTCCAGTAATCCGGGAGCTGGAAAAGAATGCAAGACCTCACCATTGGGGGCTGGGGCCGCACCTACGGGAGACAGGAGGCAGAGGCACTCAACTCCTCCCCACAAGGCAAGGAGTTGTTCACGGGCGAACTCAACACAAAACCAGCGAAGAAGGCAAGCAGAAGCAACCGAGATAAGGAATGAGGCCCGTGAGAAACACAGATCTCGGGAAGGGAGCCTTTGTGGACTGCAACTCCCCAAATTCCTCAGCCAACTGGGCTATGTCTGGGGATTCTGAGTGTTGTAGTCCAAAAGGCAACTTGTCCAGGCTCTGGAGGAAGGAAGGAAAAAAAAACACTGTTAGTACAGTACTTCCTTTACAGCCTTCACCTGAGACATGGAAGCAAAAAACCCCCAAATATTGCCATGGATGGGTGAGTGGGTTCGATGAGGGAAACACAACCGGCAAATGAAGCATGAAGGAGCCCCTTACCTTCCCATTCTTGCTGTATTCTGAGAAAAGAGGCTTACAGGTTTTTTTGAGAAGTAAAGCAACTGTATGTGGCCAGTTCAACCACCCCAACTTTTGTTCAGCTTGCACCTGTCTTTAGGACTGCTTAGGTATAATAAGGATGGGATCAGTCCTCGCTGTATTTATCACCTTTGGAGATTTTCAGAACCTTAAGTTGCCAAGTTTCCTTCTCAGCCTTTTTCTTCTGTTACCGAGATCTGCCGGCTTCCTGAGAAAATGAGATCCTCATTTCCCCTTTTTCATTCTAACCAAGAATGGCATGTCCTATTTCTCCCTCAAGTGCAACATTATTATGTCTACATACAAAAGTGTGGCCAGTCCAAAGCTTTCAAGAGGTTGCACAAACTCTCCACCAAAAAGAGCATGATCCTGCGCCCGCCCCGGCACAAACGGGGACTTCAGAGGCACCAGAATGGCTGGTTCCCCTGTCACCATCCCTGAAGGAGCCGCTTGACCTCTCCTTTCATGACCTTTGAACACCTCAAGAGTTGTAGCACCGACAAGCCTAATCCACAGTCCAGACTTCAAAGAACTCTGACTAGGCAGCAGTTGAGGGCCTTCTGTTGAGGCAGCCTATTTGGGAGAGAGCAAAGCCCAAGGGTACGCTAGATTCTGGCCTTGAGCAACCCTAGAACTAGCAGCCATCAGACTCCTGCCTGTTTAGTATTCTGTGAAGGATCTCTTATACAGCCTTGTGGCTCTGATCCACATCCATTCTCTCTTCCCAGCCCACTACTCTTGCTTATCCCCTACTATGCCCGAGAAGGCCCTGACACTTCTGATTCAAAACCAGGAGCCCCTGACAGGTTACCTTTGATCTCCACTTCCTCCATTTGAATCTCTACACTCTTCAGTCTTAGACTCAATGCGTTGCAGCTCCAGAAAACAACAGCCAAAGGTCCCTCTTTAAAACAACTACCAATCTTTGGCCCAAATATTACATAATATTACCACAGTGAAAGTCTGCTGGAAATGTGCTGGGCTACACTGTGGTGCAAACTTGCGTATTATTCGTGCAACGTGTCTTGGACTAGTGTAGTGACATCACTGTCAACAGAACAAAATCCACATGAGATGGGTAAATACAGCATATTAGAGAGATAATTGATTCTTTTCTTCATGGAGATGTTGAAATTGCTTGAAATGATTGTAAAAGCAAATCTCAATAACTCAACAGTATCTGAAAGAATAAGGTAGACTCAAATTAACAGATTTTGGAATAACAAAGTAGACTCAAAATATTATTGTAGTGGTGGTGGTGGTGGTGGGTTTTGTTCCAAATAATTGCTTCTTCTTCAGGGCTGGATGGACCTGGAAATCTAAGTGACTAAGGAGGAAAGTTCCTGACCAGGAACGTGGGACACCCTTACCCGCACATGGGGAACAAGACTGTACTTCATCCTGCATGCAACATAGAATAAACTATATAGTAGAGACCATTGCTAATGGGCTGCCTTGCAGCTTAAAGGACCAGTTTAAAGTCTCCCGGAGGCTTGCAGTTCAATTTCTGCTGACCTTTAATTAAAGACGGTACACCAAATTGACACCAAGAGAATTAAAACTACAATATAAATTCAGCCCCATAACTAGTAACCAAATAATATTAATTTTTGCTACTGGATGCTCAGCTAAGCTGCAAACTGAAAATCCTCCAGCTTAAATATAACCCATCTAATGAAAAGGTCATAACATTAAAAATATCTTTATTTATCATCCTTAGGAGATACTAAGTAAAAAATGCAGCTACAAGGTGTCCTTCAAGAGTGAAGGTGGGGGAAGAAAGAGGGAAGGCCAGTCCTTAGGTATCAAAGAATAAGTATCCTATTTGCCCCCAACAACAAGCAAATGTTACTCTACAGTCTCTTCTAGAGGGCCACTTGACCTGTTCCATCCTACCATTGAGAAGAACCAGCCTATAGTCTGTCTGAAACTGGTGGCCCCTCCCCAAAAAATAAAAATTGTTACTTCTTTCAGAATACAGGCTAGGTAGCATGGCTGAGTGGGTAAATGTTTCTCCAGCACTGAAAGCTCTCTGCCTGTGGGAAACTAGCCCATGAAGAAATAGGTTCGTAGTTCAGAAACAGGTTGAATCAACCTTTCCCATATCCACACTGTGAAGAGGCCTTTACAAACTAGAGCAGTGGCTCCCAACCCTAGGTCAACCAGATATTCTTGGATTTCCATAGCCTTCATTACCAGCCATTCTGGCCAGGGTTTCTGGGAGTTGTAGTCCAAGAATACCTATACAGAGACAACTATACAGAGGTGATTTTTCTGAACATGGCCTATCCTGTAAGCAGAATACTGCAAATAAGTGACAGTTTGTTGACTCCTCTTTTCTCTTTCTTCTCTGTGTCCTATCTGTCACTGAACAGAAAGTCTTGCTGGAAAACATTGATTCATTCATTCAACTTAGATGATTGCCCATCTCGCTATCACCACTGTGGGTGGTGTACAACAAAAGATTTAAAGAAACATAAAATAAAATTACTATAAGACCATCAACTTATCACAAACAAGCAAGCAAGATTAGGCAAGTGGCTGGTATCTGTTCTGGGACATCCTCTTTCCTCCACTGTTCTGATTAGTTGGGTGACAAGCTCTCCGACAGAATGAAGAAGTTGTAAACTAATTTGCCAATGGTAGGTTCCAGTGCAAATCTTACCTAAGGAGCACTTACCCTCTTTCCTAGCTCAGTGTAGGGGATGGGAATCCTGCAGGAATATATCCTTACCACTTTGCAATGATAAAGCAAATAGCATATCTGAAGACAAGACAAACATATAGACGAAAGCTTTCAAAACAAGCAATAAATTAACAACAGTAAATCACTATACGTATGCATATATATCTGAATGTGTATGGGTGTGTGTGTAGCGTTTGAAGATGTTATTTGCTTTATCACTGCAAAGTGGTGAGGATACACACACACACACACACACACACAGAGAGAGAGAGAGAGAGAGAGAGAGAGAGAGAGAGAGAGAGAGAACTGTTGAAACACTCTAAACTGATAAAAGTGCCTGCTAACATCAACTGCAGACCTGCTGCATCAAAGACTCACACCTGATTATAAAAAAGGTGTTTTATCAACCACTTCACCCTATATTTTCCGCGCAAATATGAAACCACTAGGAAAATGTTTAAACAGGTGTAATCGCAATTGTGGATGAAAATTGGATTGGAGGGCTGCAAGGAATCTTAACATGGTTAGGGAGGAGTGAAAGCCAACACAAAGCTGCAATCACAGCTTATTATGAATGTATCACCCGAAAGGAGGATGTTGTCACAGAAGCTATAAAAATGTCAGTGAAACAGAGGAACCATTACCCAAGTAGTAAATGAAAGCGGGGTTCAAATACAAAAAGAGAAATGTGACTGAATATATTAAGAGAAAATGCATTTCACTCTGAGATAAAGAAGTGAGGCGAAATAATATTTGCTTAAAATTTCTCTGAACAAATATGCACGGATAACAACTGGAAAAGAATACACACAGTGCATCATAGTGGCACAATCGATATTTTAGGAAACAGACTTTGTTTGAGAGTGGAATAAACCCAGTCCTGAGCATGACGAAATCACAGGCTCCAAGTTGGGGCCAGCATGTGGGGCCAAACACAGAGACTGGATTGACAATCTGGGTGCTTCAGTGCCATCTCGTGCCTTTCGGTAGAGGGCAGAGCGGTGCATACACAAGAGGCTGGCACACAAGCAACCACGCTTCCTCACCCATCCTCACTGCAAACTGGAATCTGTGTGGATCACATTGATGATTTTTGCAAAAAAAAAAAAAAAATCGGACCACTGAATCCTGTCTGTTTGGAGTTTTCAAGTCCTCCCAAGTAGACCCTGCTTGCAGGTGAAAAGAAAATCAAAAGCAATCTGACCCCTTGGAACCAAAATTGTTCTCAGTCTAGGTCGGTCTGCTGTGGAGGAATGGCTGCAATGACACGATTTGCCTCTCATTTGAATGCAATGTGGTGACTGCAATCTACCAATATCTTCTTGACAAATTAACTTTACTAAATGGCATCTTTCAAAACTATCAAAATCGGAAGCAACTGAGAATACGAGAAAACTCGTTAACCTTTCATAACAACAACACAAGATAGGGCTTTCTGGTTTAACATTCGCCAGCCAAAGATCAGTTATCTTGGTTTTCACATGTCATATTATTGCTGCATGTAAAAAAAAATTTTTTTTGTAGCAAATAGCATGAATCCCGCAGTCAAGTCACTTGCTAAACACGACACCTGAAGTGGGTTTTTTCCATTGTATGTTTATGTTCTGAGATACTGTACATTTGGCTGATTCACTGCAATAATCCAGAACTCACAGAGATATCTATATCAAAGGAAATGTTGATCAGTTATAAATCCTATTCTTACCTAAATCCTATTCTTGCATTACCATTATTCCCTTCCACCTGGAGACTGCAAAGGAACCTAATAGATTTCACAGTGCAGAGATAGGGCCATCCACTATCTGTCCCTCATGGAAAATGGACAGGTTTTTTTTTAAATCCTCCTTTAACAGATGTCCTACCTA